GTACGTGATAGGTCAGAAAATCCCCTTTCTTTTAGGTTTAGGCAGGAAGGAGTAAACATTGCTTCCGACTTTCCCAATAGTACTTGATTCGATGCTCTTTGCTTCCAGTAAACTTACTTGTGACAGGAAAAATACAAACTTAGCCGACTTTATTGACAGCTTGTTCATCTGTTGAATATCTTGTTCCTAAGATTATGAACGCTGCCCACTTCTTCACACTGCATTCAACAGCTGAGCACATCAGGAAGAGGAGCAGCTTTTCATCTTGGTTAGTTTTTTTAAAAATATATTTTATTGATTTTTTTACAGAGAGGAAGGGAGAGGGAGAGAAATGGAGAGTTAGAAACATCCATCAGCTGCCTCCTGCACACCCCCTACGGGGGATGTTCCCGCAACCAAGGTACATGCCCTTGACTGGAATCGAACCTGGGACCCTTCAGTCTGCAGGCCGACACTCTACCTACTGAGCCAAACAAGTCAGGGCTCATCTTGGTTACTTTTTGGATCTTTTTATGCGTCTGATGAAAGCAATGTCCCAGGAAATGTCTCATCTGTAAACCAGAATTGGATGTGTTTCTAATTCCAAGGGGTTCTGAGACCCTCTGAGCCCGTGAGGAGCCGAGGTTAAGAACGGCCTTATGCTGGGGGCTACGGAAGGTCCTCACTCTTCATGTGAAGTATCTGGTCGAGGCTGGAACTCCTGTTCAAACTCTTCCCGTGTGTCCTTGTCTTGTGTATTCTAGAGCTTCCTTCAAGATTTTACCTACTATTAGGGTCTAAGGGAAGTCATTTTTCTGCGGTATACATCTATAAGTTATGATTTAGAAAAACGTAATTGTAAGTTATTCTTTCATTTCTTCTCTATGGCAGTCCTGTCATGGAACACATTTGGCTCCCAGGCCTTTTCTGTGACCTGTATTTGTGGTGAGAGAATGCCTCCTGGATAGCGATATGTATGTATTTAGTTTTGAAAAGGGAAGCTCTCTGTCCTGTGACCATACTTGGCTAGGCAGCATAATCGGTTCCAACAGGGCTGTGAGCACACAGCCAAGGCCATTGGCATTTACCTTCCAGCACTCACATAGCACCGTCCCCAAGTTCTGTTTAACTTGGATTCCTGTCGCTTGGGATGGCCAGTGGTAGGGTTTGCTTATATGTATCAGGTATCGCCAGATTAGAGTGAATGAATTAACACTAAATAGCAAATCCATGATTAGGACCAGTATGTCAATAGAGACTAATTACTCATTTAAATAAAAGTCTGTCATTGCTATATAATTGAACGTACCTCTCTTTTTCTATCCTTTCCCCCTCAATGTAGCCAATTGTGCAGTTTGTCATTGCTAGGGGATTTTAAATAGAGCACTGCTGCATCTTAATTAGAAATGAGGCCGAAACCGGTTTGGCTCAGTGGATAGAGCATTGGCCTGCGGACTGAAAGTTCCCAGGTTCGATTCCGGTCAAGGGCGAGTACCTGGGTTGCGGGCACATCCCCAGTGGGAGATGTGCAGGAGGCAGCGGATCGATGTTTCTCTCTCATCGATGTTTCTAACTATCTCTCTCCCTTCCTCTCTGTAAAAAATCAATAAAATATATTTAAAAAAAAAAAAAAAGAAATGAGGTTACCCATTAGTTTCAGAATTAATTGGATTCTCTTTTAAGGTTTGTTGTATTTTGTGTTTGTCTTTTTTTTTTCCTCCTACCTTCATCCTGAAGCAGCCAACAGCCTCTGAGGCGCCACGAAAAAGCGCTTTTTAAAAAATATATAAATAAAAAACTAGAGGCCCAGTGCACGAATTTCATGCACTGGGGGTGGCTGGGGGGTTGCGGGGGAGGTCTCTCAGCCTGGCCTGCATCCTCTCGCAGTCCGGGAGTCCTTGGGGGATGTCTCAGTTGTACAGCCTTAGCGCTGCCGTGGAGGTGGTGGGAGCACACTGACCACCAGGGGACAGCTCCTGCATTGGGCGTCTGTCCCCCTGGTGGTCAGTGTGCATCATAGTGACCAATTGTTCTGCTGTTTGGTTGATTTGCATATTAGCCTTTTATTATATAGGATAAGCTGGAGGTGAGCATATGCATAACAAGAAAATTTTAATAATTGTTTCATTTTCCATTGGGTTTGCTAGGAAAATCTTAGCCAAAGCCTTCCTGAATAAGGGGTGCAGTGGTGGCTGTGGAAAGAATCTGTGTGTGTGGGAAAGACTGCTGGCAGTTATCAGTCTAGGTCAGTGGTTGGCAAACTGCAGCTCGCGAGCCACATACGGCTCTTTGGCCCCTTGAGTGTGGCTCTTCACAAAATACCATGTGTGGGCACGCACGTACAGTGCGATTGAAACTTCATGGCCCATGTGTAGAAGTCGGTATTTTGTGGAAGAGCCACACTCAGGGGCCAAAGAGCCGCATGTGGCTCACGAGCCGCAGTTTGCCGACCACTGGTCTAGGTGCATGTCCCTGTAATCTGTTTTAGGTGAATTCACTTGAGAATGTTTTGTGTAAAGAGCATTGTGCTACCTACCTTTTTACCTTATACCAGTCATTTAAACAGCTCAGGTTCCAGAGTTCTCATAAATAAAATGAGGAAGCTGGACTAGAAGACTTTTAGGGCCCCTTCCAGTTCTAAGATCTAATTCTATATTACTAATAAGAGAAAATACTTTCTGGCTAGGGCAAAGAATTATTTTGTGACTAGAGAGTCTTTATAAATGCAGGTAACTTGTGTGAATGGGTTAAATATCTGACGACAGCTTTTCAAGTTGGGCTTAATCTAATTTAAGTTGGGCTGGTGGTGGTAACAAATCTTTGGGCAACCTGCTCTGGATAATTCCGACTTAGAATATAAATTATGATTTGGGGTAATTTTAAAGCAATATTTTCTAAAGTAGCTTGAGTAAAATTTACTAATCTTTTAAAAACACGGTTTAAAGGTAAGCTTCAGCCTTCAAATACAAAAGATAGCTGGAGGAGGAGTTAGGGTACTTGTGGACCAACTCGTATGAGAAAAGGGAGTAGTTTGAAGTTTTAGGGTTTTTTCTTCCCCTAAATGTAAATAAACCTGTTAATCTTAAAAAGTAAAATTATATTTGTGATAGTCACAGCTGATACTGGAACTCCATCACAAGGCGATTCTCTTTTTTTAAAGTGTGTTTTTATTGATTTTTTTTTAGAGAGAGGAAGGGAGAGGGAGAGTCTGAGAAACATGAATTGGCTGTCTCCTGCACACCCCCTATTGGGGACTGAGCCTGCAATTTGGGCATGTGCCCTGGCTGGGAATTGAACCTGCGACCTCTTGGTGCCAGGTTAATGCTCCAACCAACCGAGCCACACCCTCCAGGGCACAGGGTGATTCTCTTGTCTTGGCAAAGTGTTTATTATTTGGTGCCTCTGTGAACAAGTGTGTGTGTCCCAGTTAACACTGCTTTTTAATGAAAAGAGCACATGCTGCTCAAAGCACATCTGGTTTCCAGTTACTTTTTCTACAGATCATTTGAGTTATGGGTCTGTAGTGACACCTAGTGGGTGATAAGGATATGAGCATCTGTGATTGAAATGAATTTCACAGCCTAGCAGGGGTGGGCAAACTTTTTGACTCAAGGGCCACGGTGGGTTCTTAAACTGGACCGGAGGGCCGGAACAACAGCATGGATGGAGTGTTTGTGTGAACTAATATAAATTCAAAGTAAACATCATTACATAAAAGGGTACGGTTTATTTTTTTTTTAGTTTTATTCATTTCAAACGGGCCGGGCAGGCCGTAGTTTGCCCATGGCTGGCCTAGGGCCTTGCGGCATCATGCATTTGCCCTAATGTTCCTTTTCTGTTAGTTTTCTTTGGGATGTGGTTGTTGTGGGGAAATTAAAAGGATTCCCATAGTTGTTGCCACATCATGGTGACATGAAAATGCCTGTTGCTCTCACTACCTGAATCAGAATTATTAAGGTTACAGCAGATCTTCGGGATGCCTCATCCAAGTCCCCCATGTTTAAGATGAGGAAGCAGACTGAGGCCAAGAGAAAAGTGATTGACATGGAGTCATGTAAGTAAGTGATGGAACCTAAACTCGAGCTCTGTTCCCGGGTTCCCAAGCTTTTTGCTGTACTCTATACAGCCCTTAAGTTTGAGCTTTTTTAAAAAATTTTTTAAAATATATTTTCATTGATTTCAGAGAGGAAGGAAAAGGAAGAAAGAGAAACCTCCATGATGAGAGAGAATCATTGATCAGCTGCCTCCTGCACGCCCCCCCCCCGCCACTGGGGGTCGAGCCCCCAACCTGGGCACGTGCTCTTGACCAGAATCGAACCTGGGACCTTTCAGTTCTCCAGCCGACGCTCTAGCCACTGAGCAAAACTGGCCAGGGCAATTTGAGCTTTTTTAGTTTGAGTCCTTGGCTTAAATAGATCAGGGGTGGGGAACCTCTTTTTCTGTTGAGGGCCATTTGGATATTTATAACATCATTTGTGGGCCCTACAAAATTATCAACTTAAAAATTAACCTGCTATATTTGGTCAAACATTTAATTAACTCGCCCCTAATCCCTTGGCAGGGCCAGACCCAATGATTTCACATGCCTTATATGGCCCAGAGGCCGGATGTTCCCCACCTCTGCCCCTTAGATGAAGGAGTATATACTCTGTATTCTTAGAACCAGTAGAATTTCTCTCAATAATACAGGGCTGGGCCTCAGAGCAGAGCTGTTGACAAATGAGTCATGCTTTTCCTGTTGGCGAATATCCGTGATGAAAGATGCCAGCAGGTGAGAACTGCCATGGACGTCGGAGGAGGTGCTCGAGTTGAGGGAGGGCGGGGAGGGAAGATCAGACTAGGCTTTTAAGCACCTTTCTGAGACTCTGACTTAAAATTGTTTCCCCCTGATTACCGTTGTCAGACAATATAGTAGTTTCATGTGCTGTGACTTCTCTAGCAAGGTTGAAAGTATCCCTTTGTTTAGATAACCCTTTTTTTCTAGTGGATAGCAGGAGAATTGGTATTAAAATAAACAATCATTTTAGGGTTTGTGGCACATAGTTTAATCCAGATTGGATACATCCGGTACAGCAGTGGCACGTGACTCAATACTGTAAATGATACACGTTGTAACATACGCACTACAGTTTCAAAAGAAGACGACAGGAAACTCAGTACTTTTTTCTCTTTTTTTTTCCATAGAAAGTTTTCACATGTTTATCTTCCTGCAGTTTTGTACAGTAGTTCTTCTTTGCCATTGTGATGTTGGTAAGCAAAGCCCATTTATTATACGAAAATAGAAAAGAACACACTTGATATTTTTCACGATAACATTAATTGGTGGCGGGGGGGGGGAGTGACTGCTAAGGAAAACATTACATTGGAATGTCTGGTTATCAAAAATATACCATCCCTCCCACCTCCCAGGTTTGCAAAATAGTCTGTTGGTCCAAGGAGCCCCAGGACTTGAGTCGGTGCCCTGCCCTGGTTGGAGTGACATCATCCAGTGTAGTTAAGTAACCTGCTAAGACAGATGTCATCCCACACATGATGAAAAGAACATAGAACATTCTAAATAGAAAACAAGACTGAAAAGGAACCCCTTCAGCTGTTTCTTTTGCTGATAACCACTTTCTGTTCATTCGAATGATGCTTTTCATGATGCTGTTTGGGCTCCGAGGGTAACAATTTCTCTTTCATCCAGTCGTTTTAAAGCTTCGCAAATGATACCGCCTTAGTAATCTAAGATCCCAGCACTGAGTTTTCTGCCTTGCAGTTAGTTACCTGGTAGTTGCAGTAAGGGTGTCTGGACCACTGGAATTGATTCATAACCCCAAGATCTAAGTTTAGTTCAATTTCAGTGATTACCTGTGCAGATTGTTTTTTTTTTAAAAAGGAACAAAATCCTGGTACATGTTTTAATGGACACTTCCCCTGCTTGTATTCTAGTAAGTGACATGATCCTGAACTGTGGGAATCCTAGTTTGAAAACTGGGTAAAGTCCTCAGCATGTCCACAAGTTGACTTTTTGTTAGTATAGATGAGCACAATCTGTCCACTTTACATTCTGTTCAGGTTCTTTTTCTTAATTTCACTTTCTACTTGCTGGCCTTATACTCCTGTGTGATTGTAGACAGTTGTGTTCAACTGTCACTGAGCATGTCTGGCCTTGTCAACAGGATTCTATGCAGTTAGTCCTGAGCTCAACATTAGTTATGAAAATAGGGGACGAAAGAGGGGGGAGGGGCGGTCCTGGCTCAGGGTGGTTCTGAATGGAATGTCTGCTCACGTGTAATCACCACCCTTGACATCCAGGTGCTAAAAATATAAGCAAGCCTCCAAGTAATGCAACGTGACGTGGAGGACAGAGCCCTGGCTTCAGTCACAGTTGTGCCGTGTGAACGCGGAGGTCACTCAGCTTCTTCCTGCCCATCCAGGATTTAGTGCCTGACCTACACCAGAGGTCGCAGTCGGGACCAGAGGACCCCGCAGGTAGGCGCTGAAATGTCCATGCCCGCTCTGCACTGGGAAGAGAGCATTTGACAAACACCTGCTTCTCAGAGTCGACTGTCCGGGCCAGCTCTGCCCAGGGAGTGGTGGTGTCCAGGGGCTGGTTTGTAGTAGCAGAGTCCGGTGCTTTCTGAGGGCTGTGTCCATGCAGTGCTGACATCTGCGTAAGGTCAGGCCTGTCGTTACAGCATTACTCTCTGATGGCTCTTCTCAAGGCATCGCTGCTCTGCCAGGCAGTGGGGAAAAGCACTGGATGGACGGACAGCCGAGGGACCTGTGCTCTGGTCCCAGCTCTGACATTAAGTGACTGCATGACCTGGAGCAAGTCATTTAATTCCCCTGGGCTTCAGCTTTCTCTGACCTACAGAAGCGTCTTTAGCCTCCTCTAGTTCTGATAGGCTCTCAGTACTTTATTTCCCAGGTTTCCATGCATCTGAATGTGGCCTATTGGTTGGCTTCTTTTTAACCTCTTGAATGCTGAGTGGGGCAGGTGGTTCGGGGTCCTACTATGCTGAAGTGATCGATGAGCGATGGAAGCTCAAGGCCATTGCACCAGAAAGCCATTGCACGGAAGACCCTGACATCTGGTTCTCCGGTCACGGGCCAGTGCGCGGGACCGACGAGGCCGCTCAGCACACTGGCCTCGTTTCCGTTTCCGTCCAGACGCAGCAGCGCGGTCTGGCTGGACTCTGTAAGAGTAGATGAGCCACTTCCTCGGTTGGATGGCGGCGTCCTTGGACCAGAGGCAAGCGGGTCTCCTGGCGAAGGCCACCCCGCCGGGCAGGGCAAAGGGAGAGTCTAAGCTGCCGGTTCTAGGAACTGGCCGAGTGCGGGGCTTGGAGATGAAGCTGGAGGAATACAAGCATCGAGTTCATTAGGATCAGAAATGGGAAGTCATCTGGGATGTGGTGATTACAATTGGCGTGTTAATTTGTGGGGACACAGTGTGCTCCCCGTGCAGGATGGGACATCCTGGGTTGGGTGAGGCGTTGCTCTGGCCCTGGGAGGACCTTTCTCACACGCCGGCAGTGTGACTGTGTAAGCAAGTGTTCTTATTTGCGTCTTGATCCCGTATCCCTCTCAGTTCCCAGGATGTAAACTTGGATATCTAGACATTCCTAGCTCTGTTCCATTGTCCATTCTTTCAAAAGAAAACTTCCTTTTCTGGTCCTCTGCCTGCTCTCTGAACGGAGCCCAGCCAGGCCCTCTGCCTGCCCTCGTGTGTGAAGCGATGGACTTGCGTACTTATTCTCAGGTGTGTTCCGGGTGGGTGTGTACACGAATTCCTGTTGAAAAGCTTTTCAGCCGTAAGCTCAGAGGGCCAGCACCACCCATTCTCGTGTTCGGGGGAAATCTGGTCGATGAGGTTAGCAAAGGAGATAAAGGTGGGAGGCTCCCTCTCCTCGGCCCCCCTTCCAGTTAGGGGCCACCCTAGCCCTCTGTCTTCCCTGCTGTACAGGGTCACTAGAGCAGGGTTCACAGGGAAGCCCACCCAAGGTGTTCTCAGGCTCCTGGCCGGTGAAACGCACCTACACGGCCGTGGTGGGCAGATTCCTGGCCTAGTTACACAGCTAGTCACTCAGCTGGAGAGTGGCCACGGAGCTCCTGAGAGCTGCTGGATCTCAGCGCGCAGGCGAGAGGGCTGCAGTAGGGCCGCTGGGGGTCGGGGTCTGCTATCAGCAGTGCAAGCGGAGAGGACTGCAGAGCCACCGGAACAGAAGCGCCCAGGTTCCCAGGAATAATCTTCACCCCCTCACCTGCACGAAGCGCCCCCACTCTGGGGGTCTCCAGGGACATTAGGCCTGAAGACTTCAGAACTCAGGACACCTTTCAGACCAGGTAAGGATCATCGAGAATCTTCCTTTCGCACGTTGGTGCAGCCTGTGGTCCTTGCACCGCCGCCCTCTGCAGGGAAGTGGCCTCTGGCGTAGCTGTGGGTGGGCTTGATGGTGGGAGCCATGGGCGGCGGCGAGCCCTGGCTCTTCTGTCTTCTCCACTGGCATGTGCCATGCGCAGGTTGATTCCGTGTTCAATATCCCAGTGTGATAGATCTGGTCATTCTCCTTCTAAGCCAGACATGGAAACGGGGACACCCGTGGTCCCGCCTCCAGGGGAGCACTGGGTTCTTGCAGGGGCTTCCCTCCTCCCTCTTCCCCAGCTGCATCCACACGCACCACTTCCAGGCACTCAGCTGCAGGTGCCTGCATGGGGAGGCTTCCCTGGCATGTCTCGGGGCCACCAGGGTCCATGTAGACACAGACGCTGGACAACGGACAAACAGCCAGGGGTGAAGCAGAGAGAGACGGAGACAGAGGGGACGGACAGACAGGGGACGTGTTGCTGTGTGGTCATGGCAGCTCTGCAGGTCGGCAGGGCAATGGGGGCCAGGCTCCGCTGACCTCACCCACCTGGGGGGATGGAGAGACAACTCAGCAGTAACTGGCTGCTTAGCCTAAAAGCTTTTGCTATAAAAGGAGGAAAAAACACACACACACAAAACCAAACCTCACAAAATGCGTTGTTTTGGTTCAAAGGTACTGGGTCCATGGAGAAAAACGGTGCACAAAAATCCGTTGGTGTTTTTGTTTTCCACCTTTTCCCCTGAATAAATATTATCCATTAAGAGCCTTGAAAAGGTGCTTAGATACACAGTGTTATATTTTCTTCCTGTTTTGCATGTGTCAGTTGGGCCTCTATGCTGCTCTCGGTCTCCTGTTTTCCTCACTGGGGTCTCCAGAAGCAACTGCTATTTGGTCTGAGGCTCCCCCTCCAGGCCCTGACCCGGCATGCGGCAGCCTCTGCCCCCACTTCCCATCCCCTACCCTCCCTTCCTCTGGCCCCTGGGAGGCAGGACCACAGGGCTGTGTCCACGCCAGTGAACCTTGGGGCCCCTCTGCTGCTCTTGTTCCTCCCAGGCATGAGTTTCGGTGCTGGGGAGGGGGCAGGGAGAAGGGGACGGGATGGTCCGGTGGCCATCCACCAACATGCCAGCCGCTTCACTCCCACTGCCCACATGGCCCTGTGTCCGGTGGTTTTACAAGGCGGAGACCTTGACGACGTTGCTGGCTATGGCAGGAATGTTCGTGTTGGGGCCGGGGCTGGCAGGGGGTGGCCGGCTCTCCCCCTCGGGGGTTAGCGCTGGGGGAGTGGGGATGCTGATGATGGCTGTGGTGATCTGGGACGTTTTGCAGTTTGGTCTCAGTCCGTCGTCTGCTTTCAGATTAAGGCTGGAGCGACTAGGATAAAAATAAAAGAGTGAGTTGAGGATGGTGGCTCTTGCTAGCGTCCCAAAGGCCCCCGCCCCCCCCCCCATCTGTAGCTCATAGAAACCAGGAGGAGCCTTCAGCCTGCCTCTGACTGCTTTGGGCATCAGCCCGTAATTACTCATTCCCATGATTAGGCCTAAGCCACCAACAACTGCAAATCCTGGATATTGGCTTTGGACTCAAAGGACATGTCTTCCCTCTGGTGGGGGGTTTGCCTATCGTTCGTGGCATTCGACTGTTGCTTTCCCAGAGTTCCTTGCAGTTCACCGGAGGGGGCGGGGGTGGACAGATATATGCAGAGAAAGGAGGGAAAGGCAGTCTGAGATTCAAAACCAGCCTGGGATAAGCTGTGCTGGACACAGTTGTGAGCATTATTTTCTTGGTCCATTCTTCGCACTGGGATAGGTCATTTGTGGATTTTGGGGGGAGGTTTTTTTCTGGTATCTAAGCACACATTGGGCCTAAGTCTGCTACAGTAACCCCCAGAGCCTTTGGGTTAACTTGTCAGGACAAGGGGGGCGCAGAGGGCCAGGGTGCTCCGGAGGCTGAAGGCCCACCTGGTGGTGAGGGAGGGCTGCTCGCTGCCCTGGATGTGGATGGTGCTGAGCTCCTGCATGCTGCGCAGGCGGGTGGCCGGCAGGTTGGAGTTGGGCAGGTGTGTGGTCTTCTTACTGCGACGGGAGCAGCAGGTGGTCGTGAGGCCCTGGTGGCTGGACAGCGAGGGGCTTCTCGTGGACGGGTAGTTCTGCATCGAGCTCTCCAGGCAGTTCTGCTCATACATCTGCTCGTCTATGAACTCGTGGTTCTGTGGGGAGCAGGAGGAGGGGGATGAGCCCCCAGACTTGGGATGGCTGCCTGTCTCTGTCCGGCCCGGAGAGAAGGCCTCCCAGCTGCCTGGGGCACAGACAGGCATCAAAGGAAGAGGACAGTTCTATGGGCAGCCCTGGCGTCAGGTGGAAGGGTGGGGACTGTAAGTGGTGGTGAGGTGTACTCGGCGCTGATGGGTGCAGGGCACGGGGGGCTTTAGTGGCATCGGCAGAGCTGGAAGCAGAGGTGGGACTTACTCTACAGGCTCCACACAGGACCCCGGGTGGCAGGGAGGGAGGCGCTGCTGTGGGGGGTTAGGGGGGGTGCTAGATTGTCTTTTCTGGACTGAACAGGGAGATCCTCAGGAATCTTGGGTGGGCGTGAGACAGAAGCTGAGAAAGGCACTGATTACTCTCAGAATTGGGAGGGCTTTGTGCTCAAGCTGTCAGGGTCATGTCATTACTGTTTCCCGCACCTGATTAGGGGATATGACTAGCTGGGGGCACAGGGTTCCCTAAGTCAAGGGTAAGCGTGGGAAGGGATTGCCAACAGCCTCCTGACGAGAGGCCATCAGATGGGGCTCAAGAGAAATGAGAAATGGCTGTTTGCCAAGGTGACTAGACATCTGTGGCACTAACGATCAGGCCAAGGCCGCCAGCGCGCGGAGGAGTCTGACGGGAGGGAGCACGAGAACAGTTCAGGGACCGACACCAGCAGTCCCCACGGAGCTGGGGAGGCGGCCCGATGCGGCCTGGGCACTTCCAGGGCACAGCGTGGGGCCGTGGTCCTCCACCCTCCCCGCCCCTGGGGGAGGCTGTCAGGGATTCAGGAAGGCAGCTGGGAGTTCACGAAACACTGGAAGCTGAGTGAGCGGAATGAGGCCATGGGAGGAGCGGCCCCGGGAGTCAGCAGCACATGCAGAGAACCAGACCAGGGGAAGAGGAGACTCCACAGACTCAAAGAATCAGAGAAAGGAACATCGATTAATTTTTAAAAAGTTATACCTTGATGGTGGACGTTCGTACAGACAACAGGGGATCATCCACAAGATAGGACAACCCCTACAGGATCACATGCCAACAGAAGATAAAAACACCTTTGATTGTACATTCCGGCATTCCCAAGCTCAGAGATGACGTTCAGTCTCTGGTCCCAGCATTCCAGCCCCTGCTCCCAGCATTCCCCCTCCTTTGTTCCAGCATGACCCTGCTCAAACCCCAGTTCATTCCTTCCATCCCAGCATTCCATCTCTCTCATGGCAATGTCCCACCCCCACAATCCGACATTCGCCCCTCAAATTCAGCATTCTGTTCTACTCTGATGCCAGCATTCCATCCCTGGACCCCCCCATATCTTTCTTCAATGCCAACATTCCAGCTCTTCAAACCCAAATAATTTCACCCATTCTACCCGGCACATGCACTTGGAAAGGGCAGTCGGGGCCGGGCCCGTCCCTTTGGCAAGCTCTGAGTCTGAGAGAAATCCTAGATACGCGCATACAGGTTGACACTAAGGAATATTTGCTAAGTCTGCAAACGGGGTTCCAGGGCACCTCCCCATCTGGAAGTCCTCATTGGGCTCTGCTGCCATCCAGTGTCCACATTGACTCATACGTGCCCTCTGACCTCTACCCCCTGCTGGGGAGGCGGGACCTTGGGTGTGGGAAGTCCTGCCTATGTGCTGAGCCCCTGCCTGCAGTGCGCTGGGGGACAGGTTCAAGACCAGGAAAGGGTTTCAGTTTGTCTCTCCTGCCTTCTCTCCCCTCCCCGCTATTCCTAACACTTCTGTTGCCAAGGGTCCAGGGTGGCCCACTGCCCTTCCTTTCAGTCTGGTGGTGAGGCACAGGCATCATTCCACATTCCGACTATGTCGCCCGAAACCATGCCTCTATCAGCAATAACCCGATCAGAGTGAACGCCTGGAATCGCTGGTCACTAGCGGAAGTGGCCCCAATGAGGTTCCTGCTTAGGGACATACAGGTGCTACCTCCTTGATTCCCTGTCTCCTGTTGCAAGAGGAACATAGGGGCAAAAGCCCACAGGGCATCTCCTAGCACCAGGGCCGGCCCACCTGACACTCGTCTCTGCGGCCCACAGCAACGCCTAGAAATTCTGCCCATTGGAGCCGGGAGACTGACCGGCAGAGCCCTCAGCCTCAGTCATGGAGAACGGGCCGTGGGACGGGTGCAGGGTGGGGAGAGGCCCGGTGAGGCCTCAGTGCGCTGTGGGGCAGAGCTGGCCCCACCTCGGTGACTGCCCACTCCTCGGGGGCCTCCTCCCGAGGGTTGAGAGAGACCTCATCACTGCTTTTGACTCTGAAGGGGACAGACTGACTTCTGAAGCTGGGCCAGCTTGAGGATGTGAGTTCTGACCCCTGAAAGGGGGGGTGGGGCGTGGTGGGGGCTGGGACTCACAGTGGTTTTCTCCAGGCAGTGCAGCAGGTGGTGGTGCTGGCTCTCGATGAGCGAGGTGGTCTTGCCCACATGCTCCTCCTCCGGGGTGCCCTGTGAGACGAGAGACAAGGATAGAGCTGCGAGCCTTCCTCTCCACCCTCTTCATTTCCCCACAGAGGGCAGGAGGGCACTAGAAAAATCTGGGCGAATCAAATTATAGGGTCACCATAGCACATGCCAGCCTTTGGGCTGGGGGTCCTTGGGCTAAAGCTGGTTTAGGGGTCGTGGTGACAATCCCATGGGAGAGGTATGTGCAGAGGGTTGCTACCTGGGGACGGTTTGGAAACATGTCCATCTCAGGGTTCAAACTGGGGCTTTTGGGAGGGAGTGCTGGTGCCCTTGCATGAGAAAACAAGCCCACCATCCCCTCCACCTCCCAGCCGGGGTCGCCCAGGCACCTCCCAGCCCGGCCCTCCCTCCACTGCCCACCAGGCACCGACCATCAGTTCCAGAGCCTCGTTGAGGAGCCCGTTGCGCTTGCTGTGCAGGTAGGCATTGGAGCTGCCTGTCTTGGCCACACGGATCCTGGCAAGGCGGGCCTTCTGTGATTGGCAGAGACAGAGTGAGGTGTAAGGACAGGGAGCCCGACAGAGCCAGGGCCAAGGCTGTCCCAGGGAGGCTGGGCTCCCAGGTGATTTGGAGGCGGGGGAGGAGGCTGCTGCTCCCAGCCGCAGGGGTCTCCGTTCACAGACCCTGGGCCTGATGCTGGGTCAGGATCGGAGTGCCCAGGGGTTTCCACTCGCCTCTGCAGCCGGGGGGTCACCCTGGAGGAGAACACCGCTCATCCACGTCCCCCTCCTTCCAGGTGTCCGACCTTTATCAACTCGGCTATGGCTACTTCTCATCTCCGCAGGCTGTGCGCCCCCCAAGGACACAGCCAGGGCGCTCCCTGCACCGTTAATCACGAGAACAGCAGAGTGCACACGGGCCTCCACACTGCTTTCCTTCGCCCTTACTAGGCAGGTGTGTACGTCCTGTATACTGACCTTGTTACTGTCTCTCCCCAGAACATAAACTCCGCGAGGGCAGGAGTTTGCTCACTGATGTACAGACGGATGTACACTGCATGTCTGTCCGGGAGTGGACGCATGCGCGGATGTGTCAGCATATGCCTGCCTTTGGTTGTTTTGCTCTGGCCTGTCGGTGGGAGAAGCGTGGGGCACGTGTGTGTGGTAGAGGGAGGGTGGAGCGCATTTGCAGACAGAAGCCCTGCGGGAGGACAGGGACATCTCATGCGAGCCTTTCTCCTGTTTGCGGGGCAGCAGGAGGGGCCACAGAGAGGCCGGAGAGGAGAGAGCTTTGGGAGAGGGAGAAGGTGCCAGGAGAGGGGTTCCTGCTGGTTTAGAAAAAAAGCAGGGCCAAAACCGGTTTGGCTCAGTGGATAGAGCATCAGCCTGCGGACTGAAGGGTCCTGGGTTCGATTGCGGTCAGGGGCATGTGCCTTGGTTGCGGGCATATCCCCAGTGGGAGATGTGCAGGAGGCAGCTGATCGATGTTTCTAACTATCTCTCCCCCTTCCTCTCTGTAAAAAATCAATAAAATATATATATTTAAAAAAAAAAAAGAAAAAAAGCAGGAGGCGTGCTCTCTTGTAGACCCAGCCCTGGCCCCAGCCCGGAGAGCAGGAGCCCACAGGCACCCAGACCCCCCTGGGGCAGAGGGCCCTCCTGCCTCCAGGAAAGTCCACAGGTAACTTCAGTGTGGCCTCCGAGCCGGAGGGGAGTCCCGGGAAACTGGCCGTTTCCATTGCTTGCCCCTCCCCAGCTGGGCCTGCCCACAGGCGGCAGGGGCTCCGAGCAGGCTGCCAGCAGGACAACTTCGACCTCGTTTCCTGGGAAGCTGCCCTGTGGCCAGCACATCCCCGTAGGGACAGTTCAACGCCCTGTCTTGGCTTCTAGAAGGGAAGAGGCCAGGACTTGAACTTGGGGGTCTGCCTCTAACTGCTGAGGCAGCTCGCTCCCCTGGATGGGGAGGACGAGAGGGCACCTGGGAGAGAAAGGAGGGCAGGTAACCCTCTTCTCTTTCTGAGCAAAGACCAAGCCCAGGACGATCCCCATCTGGGGTCCTGCTCCAGCCGTCCCCCCAGCATCTCCATTCAAGCCAGTCCCTTGTCGGGGTGCGGCTGGTACTGCTTTGGGTGAGGACTGGTAGTTGAGAGTTGCATATGGAACCCCGATTGTGTTAAGCTCATCACAGCCTTACATAACTTGATCACACCACAAGGCGCCCGGCTTCCTGGTGTCTGGGGTCTGTCTCCATTACTTTCCAGAGATGAAAGATTCTCCTCTGTGGCACTTGTTTTAATTTTATCTTATCCTGGGCTCCATTAAAGCAGCAGATTGTCACATCAAATGTGCTGTAGCGTTTCATCATTTCCCACCCAGGATAAAGAGGTCTGCACTGTTTACAGAAAAACCCAGCACCTGAAATTGGGTGGGGCTCCGGCTTGCCTCTGGGCTCCTGCGGGCCGGAGGCTGGTGCTCATGCACATTTCTCTCTGGCGTGTAGCAGAGCTTTGGGCCGAGCGTGCTCAGGCGGGGCTGGTGATGGCCCAGAGGGAGGAAGCCACATCTGGGTCAGAAACACACGATGAGCCCTAGCCGGCTTGGCTCAGTGGATAGCGTCAGCCTGAGGACTGAAGGGTCCCAGGTTCGATTCCGGCCAAGGGCACATGCCTGGGTTTCGGGCTCGATCCACAGTGGAGGGTGTGCGTGCAGGAGGCAGCCGATCAATGATTCTCTCTCATCATTGATCTCTCTCTCTTTCTCCCTTCCTCTCTGAAATCAATAAAGAAATATATTAAAAAAAAACAAAAACCCACGATGATAAAGCCGCTGCAGGGGGCTCACTCCTCCATGGCCATGAGGACATGAGAGTTAACAGAGTTTGAGGTCATCTAGGCTCTTCTAAAGACACGAAACGGCCCTGGCCGCATGGCTCCACTGTTTGGAACACTGCGTCCTGTGCACCGAGGTTGCAGGTTCGATTCCCAGTCAGGGCACATACCTAGGTTGTGAGTTCGATCCCAGGTCGGGGTGAGTACAGGAGGCAGCCGATGGATGCTTCCCTCACGCCGGTGCGTGTGTGTGTGTCTCTCTCCCCCGCTCAAATCAATAAAAGCGTATCCTTGGGTGATAAAGAAGTGGAAGATGCGCGGGAAAGTGACTGAGCAGGGTAAGGCAGTGAACTAGCAAGACCAGCTCAGACCTGCTACTCGTAGCACAACTGTGGCCTCCGGAACATCCCTCTTCTCCCCGGAACTTCAGCTCCTGTCAGACAGTTTCTAACCGTGCTGCCAATCCCAGGAAGCCGCACTTTCAGCAGATGTGGGGTCGCTGGGGGTGGAGGGGCCTGGGTGGAGGGTGCGGTCCCCCCGGGAGCCCTCCCGCTGTCTGGCTGCAGCACCCTGTGGCCCTGAGACTGGGTACCTCCTGCCCCAGAAATAGAAAAGCCCAAACAGAACAGGCAGCCACACTCTCAGGCATGAACCCCAGAGAAATGTTCACACGGAACCTACACATGGTTGTTCACAGCAGCCTGACCTCCGAGAACACACAGTGGCCTCGTCCCAGGTGCCCCTCAACAGCGATGGTTAAACCGGCACATCCACCGCACGGGTGCCGCCCAGCCAGCAGAGGAACAGCTGGATGCACACGAAACGATCAGGTTGCCTAGTGGACAGCCCATTCATACCCCCTTTTTGAAATGGAAACATCTGGTAAAGGGAGGACAGGGTTTTCAGAGGTTAGGGGTGAGAGGGTGTGGTTATAAAAGGGGGTGGGGACTAAAGCACAGGCCTACAGAGGAGAGAACGTTGAAGAAAACTTCACACGCACCCCAACAGCTAAAGCAGAAATCTGAATTGGGTTGACTAATGGATCCCATTCGATCAGTTGTATCAACGTCCACACCCTGGTTGTGATAATCTTACAAGTGCTTGTGGGTCTATAATCTCAATAAGCATTTCCAGTAAAATAAAGAGATGGGCAGGACCTGGAGATGGGGACCAACTGCCACCCCAAGATGTGCCCCCTCTGTCCCCTGCCTCCCCTGGTCTCCAAGTCCCACGGCTCAGAACGGTCTGAGGCAAACAGGGAGTGATTTCAGTAATAACCCCCGAGAACAGCAGCCGGCAGGACGCTGAGGCTTGTGGGCTGAGCTCACCGTTGTGGCTGCTGAGCTGAGTCTGCGGCCTGGGCTGACCTCCCTGCCCCCCTCCACGCCCCACGACGTCCCAGGACCCCTTCGTTGCCTCAGATCCTAGGAGCAGCAGCACCCCCCCCATCCTTCCCCCGCCCCTCTGCATCCTCTCCCTTCTCTCCAGGGAAGCCCAGGGTGAGAAGGTGTACGGCAAGCTGAGTATCCAGGGAAGTGAAAACACTACAGATATTTACTCTGACTTCAAAGGGGGCCTGGGAAGGGAGAGGAGGGGGCGGAG